TCACAGGCACCTGAACTCAGAGAAGTGAGGTGAAATTTACAGGGGGGTAGTGACTAATTTCTACTTTATTTTGTTTTAATACATGTATTTGAAGTGCTTTGTAAAAAAAGATTTATTTTTTAAATTTTATGTATATGAGTGCTCTATCTGCACGTATGACTTTATTCCAGAGGAGGGCATCAGATCCCACTATAGATGGTTGTGAGCCACCACAACTGGTTGCTGGGAATTGAACTCAGGACCTCTGGAAGAGCAGCAGTCAGTGCTCCTAACTGCTGAGCCAACTCTCCAGCCCCCGAAGTGTTTTTTAAAAATTATTTTTGAGAATTTTATATATAAGTACTATATTTAATGTTTCTCCCTCCCTTCCAACTTCTTCTGTATCTCCACAATTCCTCTCAAATTTACGGCCTCTTATTCTTTAATTATTATTGTTACATATGAATGTGCACACACACACACACACACACACACACACATACACACATATTTAGGGCTGACTGCTTGGGATTGGATAACCTTTTGGTGGCTCATTCCTGGAGAAGACTGATTCTCCATCTCTCAGCAACCACTGATATCCTGAAACTCTTCATTTAGGGGTGGGGCCTTGTGAGCTTTTTCTTGTATCAACTATTGTAGCTGGAAGTTTCTCCAGTCTTGTCTGGTTTCTCAGTTAGGACGAATCTCTCCCACCTGCATCCCACAGCCAGTTGGTCCCAAGTAAACACACAAATGCTTATATTATTTACAAACCGTATGGCCTATGGGTCTGTCTTCTTATTAGCTAGCTCTTATAACTTAATTCAACCCATTTCTATTAATCTATATGTTGCCACGTGGCCGTGGCATTACTGGTCTGCTGGCATCTTGTTGCTCCTTGGGCAGCAGGCTGGTGTTTCCCCTGACTCCACTCTTCTTCATTTCATCTTCAGTTTGAACGCATTGCCTAACCTTGTCCTGCCCTGCCATAGGCCAATGCAGCTTTATTTATCAACCAATCAGAGCAACACACATTCACAGCATACAGAAAGACATCCCACAGCACTTCCCCTTTACTGTCTAATCAAAAAGGAACGTTTTAACTTTAACATAGTAAAATTACATATAATAGAACAGTTATCAAGCAAGAATTGCAGTTACAATATCTAGTCTATTTGTATTTGGCAAAATTAAAGAAAATATTCTATCATCTATCCTATATTTGTGAGTCTAAAGTTTCATATCAAATTTATCTTTTATCATAACCAAGGAAAATTATAACCATCTAGTCTTCAATTACATCAAAGACCCCAGAAGGATATAATATTACCTAAGTAAACAGGAAGTGCATTGCAAGTAGCTTCCACAATTCTAGAAATGACAGAGACATCTGGCTGCCTGGACAGTCATCCAAAGTTCCTCTGCAACATTGGGGCATCCATCTTCAGCCTACAGGCCTAGAGTCTCTGGCAGACTTTTCAGTGAAGCAGGAAATTTTGAAGGATTGTCTCACCTATTGGCAAAGTTAATCAGTTGCTTCTCCCTGTGTCCTGCAGAATGTCTGGCAGTCTTCTCTGTGAAGCAGGAACCTGAAGGACCATTTCACCTTATTTTGGCAAATTCAGTGATCATTTTCCTATGGGTTCTATATGTCCAATTTATATAACAAATTGTCAAGCAGCCTAGGCAAGAACAGTTTCTTGCCCAAATGGCTAACTTTTAACATAAAGAAAGCAAACTCCACATGGAGTTTCTTTGATGCCCATCATCTTCTCTAAAATAAATAGATTGGTGCTGCCAAGAGCAGACATGTCTGAATGTCCAGAAAAGTCTAAGCTCTTAAAACATTTTAAATGCCATATTCTGTAGGTCTTTGAAGTGTTTGAAGATTATCTACCAAATTGAAATATATCTATGTATACTGAGAAAACTTAACTAATATGACTATAAATTTGATTATCATAGATGACTAATTATTAATCTGTATTTCTTAATTATATGTTGCAATTTTAAATGAGTTGCATAAACATAATACCTTAAACAAGAGTAGAAATATATATACAGTATAACCAAATTAACTTTAATTTTGTATCAATAAACTAAAATCTATAGCAATGTAATGATATCTCAAACAAGTAGTTGCTCTTTAAAAGTAGATTTAATAATCTATCCTTTCATCCTGTCATATCTACACTCTGCATTTAGAGATGGAGCCTTGTGAACTTTCCCTGTGTCAACTGATTCTAAATTTCAAACATTTTGAATATTTGTTTAGTTTTTATTTTTACTTTTTATTTATGCTTTGATGTACATCTGTGTGTAGGTGCCTGAGAAGGCCAGAGTATGGTGGCACTGGATCCCCTGGTGGTTATGAGATGCTGGCTGGGTGCTGGGAACTGAACTCAGGTCCCCTGTGAGAGCAGGAAGTTCTCTTAACCACTGAGCCATCCCTCCAGTCTCCTCAACTTCAAAAGCATTTTTAACTTCCTATAATGGATATAATGTCTCAGTGATCCAAACTGTAGTTTGGGGGCAAGCATTGTATTTTAGGGTGACCAACTGTCTATTTGGCTTGATTAAAGTTTCTCTGTAATGTGAGACTTTCAGGCAAACAAGTGGGGTAGGTGATCAACCTCAAAACAGCACAGCATACTTACCCCTTACAAAAGCTGATGTTAGCCTAATTAGCACATCTGTGAGATGGATGTATTCTCATCACTTGGTGGGTACCTCCGGTACCCAGTGTGCTTTATGTTTTGTCTTTTAGATTGATGGAATATGAAAATCAGTAGGCTCAACATCTCCCACATCAGTACCCCTTTCTTCCTAGCCTTTCTTTTCACAAGTAAAGAGGATGTGAGAGCTGGTTTAAGAATCACTTAACCAATTAGAAAACAGGAGCTCTGAGATGTTGCTGACCACTTTCTGGAGGGCCACAGCTGCTTGTGACCACAGGTCCTTTCATGCCAAGGGGAGGGGTCCTTTCAGTTTACAGTGCTCAATCTACCAAATTTTCTATGACAGGGATCCCTGAGGTCTAAACTTGGCATAAGAATCTGAGGTATCCCTGCCGTGGGTCAATGGGACTGTGAAAAGAATGTTTGCTAGTGAGAATCATGAGATTTGGGGGTACTCATTTCAGTGGCACCTCTTAGGTACAGTGTCATTAGATAGTCACGCTGTCTGTGGCCCCATCATCTTCCACAGGAGAATGAAAAGGTTGGACTAGTGAAACTGAATGTTTCTTCCACATTTGAAATCACATTCTCGGCCTTTGTCACTGCCCCCCCCCACCCCCCGCTGTGGATCTCCTTGAAAACTATTTCAAGATCTTTTTAAACATAGATACAAAGGTGTGAGATGAAAAGACACCAAAGCTACCTGGAAGGCAGACAAGGTTGATAAGCCAGGTCAGCTGAGCACTTCCTATGTATCCAAGATGGACACTCCTCCAGGATCTGGAAACTAAATCTGATAGGAGGATTTAACTAAGGAACTTACCAATGAAATCACTTGGCCCTGAGCCGATCAACCTGAAAAGAAAAAGAAGCATAAAGACAGACATAGAAACAAGAAGAACAACTTTCTTAAAATGAAATTAGAGGCCCATGTTCTTTGACACTAAGAGCTGTAGGCTGAAAATGTAGCCCAGAGGTCCTACCAGAAGAAGCAGTCTCCATTCTAAGTGGACTGATTTTTGTTCCTGTGAGTCAGGTGGGTCTTTAGATATAGTCCCCAGGGTCCGTGTTGCCCTGTTAAAGGCTGTACTAAAGAATATTGGTTTCCAAAAAATGTTACTAGTATAACTGTAAGTAGACGCCTATACATTTATGCATGGGATATAAGTGAATGCTTTAGCAAAGAGAGAATGCTTTTGCAAAGGAGAGCTTGCAGAATTCCACAGAAATTGAGACAGCTGCCTCCACTGGGAGACACCAGTGAGAAAAGACCCAGCAGGCAGTCCAAGAGAAGGGATTCTAGGCCCCCCTGAAGCTTATAGAACACATCTAATTAAATTTCCCAAGTGACATGAAGACTTAGATGAGGGCCCAAGTGTGACCCCATGTCCAAGCATCTTATATGGTTGCTCTTGATCAGTGGTTCTCAACCTTCCTAATGCTGCAACCCTTTAATATAGTTCCTCATGTTGTGGTGACCCCAAACCATAAGATTATTTTTGTTGCTATTTCATAACCATATTTTTGTTGCTGTTATGAATCATAATGTAAGTATCTGATGTGGGGGATGTGTTTTCATTGTTACAAACTGACTCAAAGGTGTTGTGACCCACACGTTGAGAACTACCACGCTTGATATTCATTTTGAAGGGTTTCTCTAACCCCAGCCCCTTCTCCAATCTAATTCCAACTGTACTAAAAGCTTTTCACTCCCTCTCAAATCTCTAACTACAGTCAAATGCTTCTTGAAAACTTTGGGAGAAGTTACAGAAGGCCACTTGCAGTTGATGGATGGACTATGTTATAGAATGGAAAGAGGCAAGAGAAACATTTTGGCAGATGACCAAAGGTTGTATCAGTCACTTTGAATAAAGTAGGTGTTTTTGGAGTCTGGACAAATTCACACACTTCCTCAAGACAGGAAAACACACTCACTGGGGCCACTCATCCGATTAGAGGAGAAGCATGCTCTCAGACTTCTTTCTTAAGCTTTTCTTTTCTTTTTTTGCCTTTTTCTCCCTCCCTTCCTTTGTCCCTCCTTCCCTCCTGCACTGCCTCCGTCCCTCTGTCCCTCCCTCTTCCTTCCTTCCTTCCTTCCTTCCTTCCTTCCTTCCTTCCTTCCTTCCTTCCTTCCTTTCTTTCTTTCTTTCTTTCTTTCTCTCTCTCTTTCTTCCTTTTCTCTGGCTATTATGGAAGCCTATGAAAATCCTCAGAAATAGTCGATACTAAGGAATTAGTTTGTGTTCAGTCATACAATGCTCGAGGCTGTACTTCTATGGCATTTCCTACCCATCCTCATTTCTAATCATGTCTTATTTCTCAAATATTTCCTCTGACTGACAGGGTACCACCTCTGAAGCAGCCAGAGATTTCCCAGAAGCAGCCAGTCTTCATGGCTTCATTACTATAAGTTCATCACCTGAGACCTTGAAAGTGTGTACTCTATCTGTGGAGAAAGAGCCGCATCTAAAGGCCCAAGATTCTTATACTTAAAGGTAGTAGAATATTCTCTATGGACCTTTTAGCAGACTAATGATTCCACTTAAAATACTTATTTTATATTTTTACTTATGTATATGTATATGTGTGTGTGTGTATGTGTCTGCACACTAGTGTGCAGGTACCCAGGGAGACCAGAGGAGGGCACTGGATTCTCTGGAACTGGAGTTGTTACAGTCATTTGGGAGCTGCCATGTGAGTGCTGGGACCTGAACCCATCTTCAAGAGTGGCCAGTGCTCTAACTGCTGAGCCAGTTCTCCAGTCCGTGATTCTACTTAGTTGAAGTGGCTTCAGTTGATGAGAGCACCTGGAGATTTTCCCAGTGAAAGGAGCCTTTCTTTGTCATGAGAGATGGTTCAGTGTTTGCCCTTTGATGACAGGTGTTGGAAATGTGATTTGGCTGGGTTATTGGGTAAGGAGGATCTAATTTACAGAAACGTATCAGATATAAGGTGTTCTATCTTGCTTTTCTATCTTGCTGTGATAAAACACTCACTGTAAATGACTTGGGGGGAAGAAAGGGTTTATTTGGCTTATCCTTCCATGTACTGGTCCATCACTGAGGACAGTCAAGGCAGGAACTCAAGCAGGAACCTGGAGACAGGAGCTTAAAGCATAATAGATCATGGAGGGATGCTGCTTGCTGGCTCCCTTTCAGGCTCATGTTCGCTACCATTTTTCTACAGCCAAGGTCCATCTGCCTAAGGATGGTAACACCCATTGTGGACTGGGCCCTCCTATATTAATTAACAACTAAGGTCCCTTCTTTTGAGGCAAGTCTGGGTTTGTGTCAAGTTGACAGCTGAAGGTAACTATAACAAGAGATGAAACAAAGGATAAATAATCACTTTAATTAATGATGCCTGAGGGCCATATCAGGCTGGCAGTGCCATGCCTCAGTTGCTCTAGGACCAGAGCATAATATAGTCATGTAAAAGTATGGTTGAACCTACAGATGCATAGCCTTCAGGGGTTGAGATCTTACCATGCGATTCTGGGCTGGATGCTTTCCACCCATCCTTTAATTTGACATCAGTCCCTAATGCACGTGTTCTTATGCCCTTTTCCCACACAACTGAGACTTAGTGAGGGTCAAGGTTTTGTGGTTCAGTATAATGCAACCTGTAAGCCAGAGAGCTGAGATGATGTAAACTCAAGTCTCTTTGCCTTCCAAACTTGCACTGCTAAGCTTTCTCCCTAATGTCGTATTGAACCATAAACAGAATGCTTACTAAACATCGGAAGACTGTAATGAATAAAATTAATCTTCAATATTTAAGAGGGAGAGACAAGGAACCGAGTGAATGTTTCATCCCGTCTTGCTAAAATGAACAATGATGTGTTGCCCGAGGGAGACTGAGTGTCCCTAATTTGAGAATCACTGATGGTGCTGGCTGCATTTGTACAAACTCACCCTCCCTTTTGTGGTCCAGGGAGTGACAGTGATTGCCTGCCACTCCAAAAAGCCAGCGACTGAAGGGCAAGTCATTGGGACCAGGAAAATAATTTCTTTGGAAATCTTATAGACTGAAGACTGTGACGCTATCATCTACAAAGACCACCTTGCCTTGGCTTCCAGGCACAAGAACTACCCAGGGAGCTGTGGGGAGGCCGTGAGCTAGGTGGGCACTGGGGTAACTACAGATCGAGTGCTTCTGGGACCTGCAGGCCACTGGATGCTCTGACCTCCGTGAATCTGAAGAAATGTACGGATTCCCAGGCCTTAGGTCTCAAATATTTTTAGTTTCTTCTCTCAAGAGTACTTAACTCTGCAGCTAATTATTAGGAAACAAAAGGCAACTTCCCCCTGGAGCCCAGGGGAATTTAGCTAACATCTACTCTTCCCAGAGGAGCAGGGGGAGACAGGGAAAAGAAACTTCCCTCTTGTGGTTCAGGGAAACAATGGGTTGGAGAATGGAAAATCTGTTAGGTAGTGTTGGGAAGGCTGATGTAGCTGCTGTTCTCTCTCTCGAGAGCTAGGGAGTTGTGGTGACTCACAGGAGCCTGCATTTGAGTGGGCCTATCAATCATCCGTCGAGGAAGAGGCCCAGGTTTACGAGGCCTCACCCTTTCCCAAGGATATGTAGATGGTTAACAGTTTCTGGGGAAGACTTTTCTTCAGTGCTGTCTCTGCCCAGCAGTTTCCCATGCTCTTGTAGGTAACCACTGCTAGCCCCGTCATTTACCAGGCTAGACCTGAGTGGAGTCACTTCTTTAATCTATCATTTGTTGCATGTCTAGGGTGAACAGACATTTGTTTGTTCTCTTCCCAGGAAAAGTTCACACAGTAGATAGCTTCAGTCATGAGTGTCTTCTGCTGCAGAGTTAGCTGGGAACCAACAACCAACCCATTGTTCAGTTGTGTGATGTAGGAAATGAATGGTTTTTGTAACTGACTAGAAGCAAGCTGAGCTTGAGTGTTCACCCAGCTCTCCCCTCAGTGTGGGGAGAAGCTCAGGAAAAGATTGGCAGAGACATCACAAATCTGCTGAGAAGTCTTGTTCACTTAGTGTGGTGGTTTCAATGAGAATGGCCCCCATAGGCTCATATATTTGAATGCTTGGTCATTAGGGAGCAGCACTACTTGAGAGGGATTAGGAGGTGTGTCTTTGTTGGATTAGGTGTGGTCTTGTTGGAGGAAGTTGTCACTGGGGATGGCCTTGGAGGCTTCAAAAGCTCAAGCCAGGCCCAGTCTCTCTCTTTCTGCTGCCCATGGATCCAGATGTAGACCTCTCAATGACTTTTCTAGCACCATGTCTGCCTGCATGCTGCCATGTTCCCTGCCATGATGACAATCACCTAAACTTCTGAAACTGTTAAGTAAGTCCCAATTAAACGCTTTCTTTTATGAGTTGCTGTGGTCATGATGTCCCTTCACAGCAATAGAACATTGATTAAGACACTTAGTGTGTGCTTGGGTGAAGACAGGAAGAGGACAGACAGACAGAAGGCATTCTAGATTTGTATGTAGACAGAGACCCTCTAACCCCACTGCTTCCTATATGCTGGCCTTCTGCAGGCAGGTCCCTCAAGTACTGAGCTATACAGTTCTCTGTAGAGTGGACAATGTGGCATTCTAAGAGTGACTGTGACAATTAGATGAAATAATGACTTGGGGCAGTGTCCAAACCATCAATCCATTATGCAAGCCAGTTAATGCTTCTGGTAATATTTTATAAACTTTAATGTTTCAAGGATCAGTACACATAAATGTTCCAAGACTGGCCCCACCTTGGGATCTTCAAGCTTGTCCTCCCTGTGTTCACGCCACTCTTTTTCCAGAGTCCTATACAGCGACCATGACTCACTCTGGTCTCAATTCAATGCCATCTCTGTTAAAGGACTTTCCAATCTACCCATCTGAAGAAAAACATGTTACTATGATTTCTCATTTTTTTTATCTTTATACATTTAAAAACCAATTTGAAATTAATTATTTATCTGTCTGTTTGCTCTTATTCTTCCCTGGTTTCTATTTGAATTTGACTTCTTAAGGACTGGAGACCTTTCTGTTTTATTTGTTGCTAAGCAACCAAGACCTACATTGGTACTACTTGATGGCAAGGAAATATAAGCCATGTAGATAGCTGAAAGTGTTCTGGTAGCCCCATCAGCAACAATAAAAAAAAAAGGGAAATGAATTTTAATGATGCATTTTTGTCTACTCTGCTGTTCATACACAGTGTCATATCCATAGGCAATCAGTACAAAATTACAAGTGAGCTGGTTTGCATCTATTCTTCCTTCTAAGTCATGGCAGTCCAATGTGTCTTTGATACATTACATCTCAAATACCCAATGGTTACTGTGTCAAATGGCTGCCATGTTGCACAGTGCACGCTTACTAACCTAGAATACCAGGTGTTCTGTATTCACTAAACACACATACACACACATATATTTATATATATATATGAAAATATTTTTTTGGGGAGGTAGAGTTTCTCATCTTTGTATGAATTCTTCTAAACTCTGTTTTAAAATCAAAGAACCTTAGAGATGATCTTCATGATGTCGCTGCAGAAAAACTTTGGCCTGGAGTGTGTCCAACTCAAAAGTGTCAGGGACACACCAGAAACTCATGTTCCCTTATTCTAAAGTAAATACTGTTACCAAATACTCAGATCTAAAGATTTAAAAGTGTCATCTGTGGCATTTGCAACACCATTTGGAATCTCCTCCTTTCTTGGTCTTGTAGTTTTGGGGTTTGAAGATCCAGCCTCACCTGTGCCAGGCAAGTGGTCTACCACTGAGCTATGTCCCCACACGTTTTTAATTTTTATTTCGAGACAATGCCCATTAAGCTGTCCATGTTAGCCTTGAACTTGCTCTGTAGCCCTGAATTTTCTGTCCTTTTGATTCAGCCTCCTGGGGCAGAGAAGGCTTTTACCACCAGGCCTGACATTGTCTGGCCACATCAAATGGTGACGCATGATCCTCCTTGACTTGTAAAATGGGCACCATTTCCAAAGTTTGGCATTAAACAAGGGATTGGGCTTTAGGTATCATCGTTGTGGGAAATCATCACTCCCACCTTGTTTAATTAAATCACTAAATTCAGATCTCTGAAAGTTTCCCAAGAATTTTGACTAAAGCCTAAACTGATCATTTTCTTCCTAAGAATTTATATTCCGAATCACCCATACACCTGCAGACCATGTGGGCAGGTTACTCACATCTTGCCTGTCTTGAATCTTGGGGAAGGCTAGTGGTGGCTCTGGAGAGACTGGAACATTGAGTGACGATGTCTACAGGAAATCAGCGCCAGACAACTAATTTTTACAGCATGATCCCCGTGCTTGCAAGTGCTCTATTAAAATCAGGCATTGTTAATTGATACTTCTGAGAATTAGAAGCAAAGGCAAGTTTGGCAGAAGGAGAGGAAGAAAGAAAAGAAAAAGGCACCTCCATTATACACTTTGTGTTGACTTTCCATCTGACAATTCAGTGGAGAGGGGAAATCAGAGCTCTGTACAGCAACCCTATTAGAGATGA